TAGGTTTAAATGTTTCAAAGTTTCTCAAATTATACGAGCAGTACAGTAGTGCTTTTGATTTTCAGTGATTGTTATAACAACTTTTTAGCCACACATATTTCATTTCCTGTATAAGTACAGTTTTATAAAGATAAACATTGCTTATAATAAAAACTATTATTTCTGTACATTTCCTGTTTCTACCCATATTTTTCTCCTTTAGGACAGACTTGCCTACAACTTAAATTTACACTTTTTAACCTTTCTAAATTAAAAGATAGTAAGTGACAAAAAAGTAATTTTAAGGAACTTTTCAACAGTTTTTTGCTACAATGTGTAAAATGTTTAGTATAAAATACTTAAATTATGATTAGACAGCCAGTGAAAATTTTTTGGTGGAAATTGAAATCTAGTCTTTTTGTGAGGGTTTTGGGAAGTCAGTGTCTTTTGAATATTATTAGAATCAGCATATATTGAAATGGATACTCTTTCACTGAGATTATTCTTTACCTGGTTCAAGTTGGTGTTTGGAAAAAAAAAAAAAAGAGAATAGATTATTCTTTAATGTATCCTGAATACATCTGTGTTCTGCATTACCAGTTTCTTCCTAAGGTGTTGCCAAGTTATATGAAGGTCAGTAAGTTCTGACTCCTTTTTGAGCCACTGGGGAAAATAATGGAATATTTGTGTTTTGTTTCTCTTGAAATTTCAATGAACGTTGAAAAATATATGATTTTATGACTGAAAGATGACTGTCAATTATAATAAATATAAAATACAGTATACTAATAATTGCCGGTATATAGAAATACAATGATTTTTTTTTTTAATATTGGCCTTACATTCTGTAGCCTCACTAAACCTACTCATCAGTTCTTGTAATTGCCACCTATGTGCTTTCCTTCCTTTCTTCTGCCAGCCCTCCCTCACTGGGGCAGGACTTCAGTAGTGAGAATAGAAGTAGTGAGAGTGGGCATCCTTGCCTTATTCTAGATTTTAAATGGGGAGCATTGTCTTTCATTATTAAGTATGTTGTTGACTGTAGGTTTTTTGTAGATGCCCTTTATCAGATTGAAGAAGTTCCCTTCTATTCCTAGATCACTGATAGTGTTTATCATGACTGGCTATTGAATTTTGTCATGGTTTATTCTACATTTCTTGAGATGATTTTATGATTTTTCTATCACTGATTCTATTAATGTGGTATAGTAACATATTGATTGATTTTTGAATGTTGAGCCAACATTCAATTCCTGGGCTAATTCCAACTTGATTATGGTAAATGATCCTTTATATATCGATGGCTTCGATTTTGGTAAGAATTTTGTGCTTATATTCGTAAAGGATATTGGGCTATAGTTTTCTTGTAACATTTTTACCTGGTTTTAGTATAGGGATAATGCTGGCCTCATAAATGAGTTGGGATGTGTTCTTTTTTTCTGAACAGTTTACGTAGAATTGAAATTGCTTTTTTCTTAAATGTTTGATCTCCTCATTGATACCATCTGGGCTTGGAGTTTTCTTTGTGGATAGGTTTTTTTTTTTTT